TCTTTAAAGAGCACGTGGGCTTCAAGTAGTGTTGAAGACATGTTGAAGTGACCACGATAACAGCTTCGCCGCGCTCCTGGGGTCCCGGCGAACGGTAGCGGGCGTCAAAGCGCTTGAGCACTTCGTAGGCAACGATGGCTCCCATTGAGTGGCCGTACCAAACTGTGCTCACACCATCAGCCAAGGATAGGACCTTCCTGGTGACCTGCTCAATCATCTGATCCCAACAGGTCCAACCCTGCCAGCTTACCACCCACAAATCCGCATCAAGCTTGGCCCAGCTGGAGTCAAAAGAATTCACACTCCCAAAATCTGGAGCAAAGAGTAGCAACCGCCTCCTTAGTCGAAAGATGTTGAAAGAGTGCAGTTCGTGGTAAGTTTTTGGAAGTGTCTATTCAGGGAACAACAGTGCTCAAGACAAGAGTTGAAAAAGCAGACGCTTATGAAGTCCCAGGCGCGCTGGCGGGTACTCCTTGATTTGCACAAGGTTTGTCAAAGCGTCATCGGCTGCAGCCTCCCGCGTCCAGTCTCGCGGAAATTCATCGTTATCACCGACCCAAGGGCCTTCGATGGCGCGCATTCTATCGGTTGCCTCCCTGAAAGGATACGGAAACGATTTGTCTTTGTTGGTGGCCCAAGGCCTCGATCGACATAGGGCATCCAAGATCATCCATTCACTTTCATTTTCATCCAACCATTGATCGGTGCAGCATCGCTCTTGCGTGTTCTTTAACTGGACTTCCCGGACATTCTTGAAAATCGCTGTATGAGCACCCATAGCTGTGACAGCACGAGTTGCCACCCTCTCTCTACGAGGCATTGACTCGGACGTAAAGTCGGCAAATTCAGGCAGCGGTATGTCTATAACCTTTGCAGTCTCGCGCACGGCCGCCATGGCTCAAAACAAAAGGATGTTGTTTCAGACCGGATGCATTTCTGTATCTTGCTGTCACCATTCTCCATAGCAGGACTTCAGACGGAATCTCTGGTCATGTCTTCGTGTGTTGGCGCAAACTGTCTACGTGTGTTTGGAGTCAAATGACCCAAAAGAATGGATTTCATATGGTTTCACCATCTTTCAACAAAAACCTCGAACATGCCAACTCAATCTACTACAAGTCTGCAATGTGGATGCGGCAAATAAAATGGTCGGTTCGGAATAGAAAATCCTACAGCTCGCTGCCAGATCAAAAGAAGCTCGCCAGAATTGAAGGTCAGCCAAATCTATGTCTAGTCACAGTCACTGCTCACCATTCAATATTCAATCCATCCACTGCACAACAGTGTTACAGTGTCATTCAGGGTCAGCAGTCTGAACTGCCGTCCACAACGGTTGCTGCCTCACTATGGCGCTCAATCTCTATGCGAGTCTCCCCCTTCCTCACAAAGAGGAGCGCAACAAACTTGTGGGAGTTAATGGGATCAAATAATAGGTGCTTATTGGATTTGAGGGATCTAATTGGATTTACAGTAATCAAAGGAATTTACAGTAATTAATCACCACAGCAGCATCTGGAAGGAAAAGTCTAGGGAGGCTGTTGGGGATGATTGTGCCAGCAATTCTCTCGGTCTGGATCTTTTCTAATGTAAGAGCCATCTGCTCCAGGCTGGTTCAATGGCACCGACCCTGGTCCTTTGAAATAAGAATCCGTAGCATGCGTGGGTGTTGAGTGTACTGAGAAACTACGCCAGTGCAGAAGGAAAAAAGGGTGATTGCAAACATTAAAGGAGGAATATGGGACTTGTTCGCAATCATTCCAGAAACCTACAACAAATCAAATTCTGTCGCTTGAATGCCACAGCTACAACGCTACATGTTTCTTGTCTTTCATGCAGGTTTCACCAACAACAAACCCGTCCTGCCAATAATCTTGGCACAGTCTGCGTGCGCAACCTCAGAAAATCATCTGCAACTTAGTGTATAACAGTCAGAGAGAGAGAGAGATATATATATATATATGCCGGATCGAGATGAAGTCAGGTCCATGGTCCCTCAGATTGATGCAAAAATGCGCGACGGTGCCTGGCAAATTAATAAGAGATCCAACGGCCCCTTTCCACAAAAAGCCAATCATGGACTGATTCAGTTGAGGGTCCCCTAAAATCCACTGGTTGATCATCTTCTTTCCTATTGAAAAATGTGCCATTCCAGGGTATGGTATGACCTATTGAAAAACGACCAATGTGATGGGAAACACCTTGGTTTCCGGAAAAATCCACGGATGGACAGAATGCAGGGCAGCAAGGCATCTCCGTCTGCGCCATCACGGCTATGAAAACTTCGGGAAGCAGAGCGACCCCGCAGCCGCCTCACCCCAAAGTTTGTGATGGCATAACATGAAATACAGTATATGGCAGGATATAAGGTTTTGTGTGTGTATGGATGGACGGATGGATTGACGGACGGACGGACGGATAGATATATAGATGGACGGATGGATGTGCGGATGGATGGACGGATGACGGATGGATGGATTTACGGCTAGATGTACGGATGGAT